AAAGGCCATGTGTGTCCCTGCCTTTTTTTTTTTTTTTTTTTTTAACAAAAAAGTCACATTAATAATGGAAAATAAAAAAATTATAGTAAAAGTGAACTGTAACAAAGCAGTTTATCTTGCACAAATATGTAGAGACATTTCAAATTTATTTACAAAAATCATTCTCAAGATACACTTTTGATATTTTATGTGCGACCTCAAAATACGTAATTAATTGTTCTGTGCCACTAAAATTTTATATAATTAAATTATTTTTCTGTTCAAAGTTTTATTTTTTTTATAGTAAAGTGTTATTTTTATTTGTAAAATTATTTAATTATTTTTATGTCAGACACCACTGCTTTTCTTTTCATTACATATATTTTTATTTGTTTCCATCTCTTATTTTGTTTTTTCTTTATAAAATGAAGCCAAATATGGATAGAGACCATCTAAATATTGCTTTTGGTTAATTTACAATAATGTATTTCACCTCAGTAACCTAATATAATTTGTTTAACTATGCTGTTTTTTAAGTTATTTATATTATAACTTAAAATTGATCAATGAAGTTTTTATATTGTTTTATTTTTAATTTTATTTTATTTATTTATATAAAGAAAGTTACTTAGTTTTAAGTTTTTGAGGAGAAACAATTTAACTTCATTTATTAACTAAAAATTTCTCTAATTTGTTTTTAAGTGTTTTATTTTCAGTCTACTCCTAATGTATGTCATAGTAGGCAAAAGTATCGAGAAAATTCAGGAAGTTTGCTTGCTGGTATTTCGAAACTAATTACTTATCTTGATTAATCCTAATGGTTTTTGTCAAGAATATAAGTAAAAAAAATAAATTTTAAATAAAAGACTTAATAATAATAAATTTTTTTCTTGCGGGTTAAAAAACACAGTAACCTGGAAATTTTAAGATATTTACCTGGAAAAATCAGGGAAATTTGAAATCTGATTTGAGTGGCCACCCTGATATATATTTAAGAAAAATAAAAGTATTTACCATGCTGTTATTTCAACATTGAGTTTATATTTAATTATCTAAAGTTAAAAAAAAGTTTCTAACAGATTCTCAGTGTTATTTAGCATTAGCATAGAATCAGTTGAGTTAAAAAACAGTATTAAAAAAATTTTTTTTAGAAAAAAGTTGCAAAATAAAAAATAAAAAAAATTTTGAAAAATTTTTTTGAAAGTAGTTTTCTTGCAAAAGATTTTATTTTTCAGTTGTAGCAAAGTTTTTGCTCAGTTATTTGATATTCAGTATAATAAATTTGATTTAAAATTATTTTAACCACTGTAATTAACTAATTCAAATGTGTTTGATAGCCTTGATAATGACTGTGGTGTTAAGTGTCAGTTAAATCAAAAGTAATTTTGCAGACTGAAATATTTTCATTCTGTTTTTTTACCACTTCTTGAAAAAAAATCTTTAGCAAAACATTAATAAAGTTAACACAGCAATAGTATAGAATGTGTGGAACTGGGAACATTATTAGATGAAGTTATAGAAATATATTTGTAAAAATTTTTAAATTGTTAATATTATATAGAATTTTAGGATTTTTTATAAGATAAAGATTCAAAAAGATTGAAAATAAATTTTAAAAAATGTGAAAAAGTTCTTGTCTGTAATTGTATGAAATACTCAAGGTGTTTCTTTATTGCTGCCTTTAATATATATTTTTATTAGTACGTTTTAAACAATGGTATACTTCAAAACAAATCAAATGACATAGGATTAAATCTGAAAACTTTATGCAGTTTAAAGTGACGGAAAATACAGTAGAGTATATTTTCTTTTTCCCTAAATCTATTTAACACTTATGCATAAAAATGGTTGCTAAATGTCTTATAATATGCAGTTGAAGTTGTTAAAAGCAAAATAAAACTTGTTTTAGCTGTAATTATCTCCATTGATGTTGTTGCTGCGCTATGCCTCTTTAGTTGTTCTGACCTGCTTCAAAATTATATTGTTCAAATTATTACAACTTCTAATTATTCAATATCTGTTTTAACTTTCAAAACTGATATAATTCTTAGCAAGTGGCCGGGATAGCCTGGTTCGTAGGGCACTGTGTCTATGTCCAAGAGCTCGTGGGTTCGATCCCCGCCGGCCGAAGACTCCCTGTGTAGTAAATGGTGACTGGTGCACATTAAATCTGTCGATTCACAAAGCCCTTCATGTTCCCATAACAAATCAATACCTCTGGGGGTACTGATCCAGGAGTTTCTTTGTCTCCTGGATGGGTTCAAAATTGCAAGACTGCGCATTTTGCAATCAACCTTTGCGCAATTGCAAGGTTGAACATTAGTAGTCATAAACCCAAAATTGGGTCGGCTGTTCAACGACAGATATAATATAATATAATTCATAGTACTCATAATGTAGTATAATTCATAGGTCTGGGGTTACTGATCCAGGAGTTTCCTTGTCTTCTGGATGGGTTCGGCTACGGAGTTGAACATTAGTAACATAAACCCAAAATTGGGTCGGCTGTTCAACGACAGATATAATATAATATAATTCATACCAAACATTTTTGAGTGATAGAGCTTTAATCCTTTTTCAATTCATTATTGTGTTGTTTGAAACTGCTAGATATTTTTTGAACTATGTTGCTCTAATCCTGTTCCAATTCTTTCTTCTTTTAAACTTCTGAATACTAATAGTGTTTTTGGAAAATTGTTCAATATCTGTGTCAACTTGATCCATTGCAAGCATTTTTGCATTATGAGACTGTTATCCTACTCCAATTCATCCCCCCGTTTGAAACTGCTAATCATTTTTTTCATCATCTTCCATGTATGAGTTTTTTCACAATAGTGCTCTGATACTGTTCCGTGCCAATTTATTTTTGGTGTGTTTAAAATAGTCATTTTTATATACTTCCACTTGCTCTAAAACAGCAAAATTGTACTAAACTTTCGTTTCCGTTATAAAAGTGTTGAGAAATATTAGTTGATGAGTTTGCATATGAGAAACTGTTTACCCATATTTGAAAAAAAGTTGATTTCTGATTATGATTTCAGCTTGAGAATCATTATTCCGCATAGTCTCAATACATTTCTTTTCTTCAGGTAAGAAAAAGTGAAGTAAATGAGTTAGTTTTCCAGTCTGACCCTGAAGAGTCCGATATCTCAGCATGCTCAATATCTTATGATTGCTCAGAAATTGTTTATGGGATGAAAAATGGACACTTGAAGGTAAGTCTTAAAAATTTAAGTTTGTTTTGCACAAAGTATCTTTATTAAATATTCAATGGCATAATTATTAACCCATTAATTTTCAATTCTACAGTAATATTTTGCATACTTATATCTAATGTTAAATAGGGTGAAATCAATTGGAAAATTGGTAAAGTAATTCCTGCTTGAAAACATTTACTTTTATTTGGAAGAAAAATTGCAGAACTTAAATCAGAATTTCAGAAATTATTGTCATCTAATATAGTGCAAGATTCCAAGAATAGAATTAGTATAAAATAACATTTTTCATCTTTCTATTGCCAAAAGAAATAATTTCCAGTAGGATATTAAAATGTTTCTTTATCTAATAATTGAATTAATGTGCAATTAAATATGCTAATGCACTATCCTAATAGCTTGAAGATTTGACCTCAAATATGCTTATTAATTTCTGAATGCATTGTTTTAAGTCATGAAATCAGACACTAAAATGTAGTTTTACTAAATAAATTTATCCTTTTTCCTACGCATTTGAATTTTTGACCCTCAGAAGATTAATCAATGATCAATGACCCAAACAGCATAAAAACAGAAGTAGACAACCGAATAAAAATGGCAAACAAGTGTTTCTTTGGACTAAAAAAGCAATTAAGATCAAGCCTAATCAGTCGAAAAACCGAAATTAAAATTTATAAGACTCTTATTCTACATGTATTGCTCTATGCAAGTGAATCATGGACACTAAATGCAGATACTCAGCGTACTCTTGGTGTTTTTGAAAGGAAAATCCTTAGAAATATTTTTGGCCCAGTACAGGAAAGAGGCTGTTTGCGAATCAGATACAACTTTGAATTATATAGACTCTATGGACAGCCACAGATAGTGCAGGTCATCCGAAGCAATAGATTAAGATGGCTTGGCCATATCTGGAGAGGTCCAGAAAACAATGCAGTACGAATCGCCACCTTTTAAAATCATTCTGGATCTCGAGCCAGAGGATGACCTCCAACTAGATGGCTGGATGGCACTACTAAAGATCTCAAAGTAATAAAGATTAACAACTGGAAAAAAGTCGCCATGGATAGGAGGCTACGCATGGTTGAGGCAGCCAAGGCCTGTAAGGGGCTGTCGTGCTAAAGAAGAAGAAGAAAGATTAATACAGTAGTTTTTATCTCCAATCAATCTGTAAAATATGGTCTCTATAGTTTTGTCAGGAGAGTGGTCGCAAATTTATAACTTTAACTTCTTACCTATTCTGCCATATCTTTAAAACTTTTTGGTCGATCAAAAAACTTACAAACATTTTTAAAACTCGTTTATGCTAAGTTAACTTCATATTAAATTCATTTTTTTAGATTATTATTGTTATAGGTATATTAGCTTTTACCTCATTTTAAATTATGTAATTTTAAAATATAACGTTTGATAGTAAATGAAAAGTCAAACTAAATGAAAGTTATTAAAGTTTTTATTTTTTTGCACTGTACATTGAATGATTCTTCGTTTCCTTTTTTGTTCACAAATAATGATTGGTTTTTGCTTGCAGATTATTAATTTAGCTACTAATGCTTCAAGATCATTATCCCCTTCTCATTTAAAACAAGTTAATTACATACTACATTCTAAAACTGATCTCACATTTTTTTCATGCTCAGAGGATACAACTATTAAAGTAAGTTTCTTTATCTTTTGTCCCCTTTCACTATAATTCAAATCATTTATATTTTAATTTTGTTCACATTGAAAATAATCATTATTTTGTTATGTAATTGTTTTAAAGGTTTGGAGAAATGGATCTCAATCTCTCATTTTAAAGGGTCACACTCAATCTGTTACAATGTGTGTGGCTTTCAAAACCGCAGATAAATTGCTGTCATGTTCCAAAGATGGTAGTTTAAGGGTTAGTATTATTATTATTTTTGAAGTAATAGACCAGGTCAATCCCTAAATGTTGCTGCAAAAAGTTTATTAATAGGCCGTCTTTTTTAACCTTTCAGATTTCAAATCGAATTTTTATTTTATTGTTATCGTTTTTTAATATGTAGTAAAAATCCAGTATTTCGAAAATTAAAACGATCAACTGTTTTTAAATTGAAATGAATTTTATGTTATTCTGTACCTTAGGAAGTACAAGATATTAATATTATTTTTTCTTTTAGTTGTTATTTTTTCTTTTAATTTATAATTCTTACAATTTTAAAACTATTAGGTTCAATTTGAGTTGCAATGTTGTAAACAAAGAAAGAGAACTAATTCTTAAATTAAATTTATTTTTTATAATTTTTTAATACTTTGGAAAATTGAAAATGTTATGTTATTATCTGTTCTTTTAATTTATAATTATTGGTATCTTTAAACTATTAAATGAAATGAATAAAGTGTCTGCATAGAATTGCAATGTGATTTCAAAACTTTTTTATCATCAAAACATCGTTTTTATTTTTCTCAGAGAAACTAAAGCAATGTCCTTTTTCTACTACATTCACTAATCCAAATTAGTCAATCAAAGTTTCCTGCAAAAAAAAAAAAAAGACCTGGACTTACTGCATTGGCTAAAGAATATAATTTACTGTGGGCTGAAATTTTTTAAAGTCATGAAATAATTATAGCTGAAAAGGTAGCAATGATCACGGAAATAGGGAAAAAAACAATTAAAAAATTGTGAACGTTGAATTCCTTTCAATACATTCCAAGAATAAAGTTAAAACTTTAAGCAACAAAAGAACATGAAAAAACATGAGGAGGAAATATGAAAAGAGTGAAGTGACCTGACAATCCAGATGCTCTTTCAGTTCGTATTCTTAAGTGATTTTGATATGCTTCTGTGTCAACTCCTCGGGTGCAATGTTAATCACTTATTCATTTTTTCTGTATACGAAGCTATGTGTCACTTTCAAATATTTTGAATTTTTTCTCTGGTCAATACAACTTTCAATTATGTAAGTTTTACTATAAGACTTAAAGGTAATTGTTATTTTAGTTATATTATATGTTATATTTTGGTTACAGTATAATAATTTTATTTTCAAATGATATTATTTGTTCTCTTTAAAACATGCAAAATATATTTTTTTTATATATATATAGGTATGGGACACAAACTCTGGTCAGTTATGCTTACCACGCATTGAAGGTCACGGCAACCAGGTTATAACTTTCTGTGATATATCACGTGATGAAAAACTTCTTGCTTCAGCTTGTGTTGACAATACGGTGAAGGTATGGATTGTAATAATAACATTACTTTTTTCAGAACAAGTATTATTTGTATTGACCAAGAGTCCAGAATGAATCCTCATTCCGTTGCTTCTCTTAACAGAAGGTTTCTGCCCATTTTAAAAGTCAAGATATTTTTTACAAAAAAAAGTGCTCAAAAGTTAAGACATGAAAAGTGACAACTTTTTATGGATTTTGAGCTGAAGTTGGTTACCGGAATCGTAAAAAAAAAATAATAATACTACAGTACAGAACCCGTTATCCGGAAATCGGAAAACCAAAAAACCGGAAGGAAATATAATAAATTTTCCTGCCATTTAAAAAAAAAAAAATTTGTTTTCCTCATAAGATTTTAGGATTTTTCTTTTTTTCTTGAAAGATGTTTACCTTACCATCATTTTGGAAATAATCATTAGTGTATAACTTCATCGTTTTTTCTTCTTTTTAAGATTATTTCCAAATATATATATTTTTTTAGTTGGATTTAACTATAAAAAAACGGCTTTTTGTAGCGATTCAGAAAACCGGAAAAATCAGTTATCCGGAATAGCGATGGTCCCGATCGTTCCGGATAATTGGTTCCCTACTGTATTAAATTGCAAACAATATCAATTGTTACATTTTTGCCAAGGATTTGTTATTAATTAGGAAGATACCAAACTTAAATACTTCATGAATTTGCTTCAATTTTCATTCTTGCTGTAGGATGTACAAAAAATTATGAAACTCAAATTTTCTTTTCTCATTTCAGAACCAATAATGTAGTTAGTTGTTACTATTAATAGATATTAAAATTTTAATGTATGGCACTGTAAATTTTTGCAATGTTAATAATTTTGAATGTTATTATGAAACTCAATGTTGTTTTTCAGAATTGATAACTGTAGAATAATTACCCATGTGACTGATGAAAAGCTTTTAGTAGAAATTGTGAAATTTAGAGCTTTGAGAAATTAACTTTTGTCAGCATGAATTTCACGCCCAACTCATTCTATCTCAGTCAATGAAGTGTTTCCTTTCCTTTTTAAAAGTTCCTCAGTTCAATTTTTCAAGTTTCCTGACACTTCAAAATGGTTCCTAGATGTTCAGCCTGTTTGCAATATGCATGTTATGTAAAATGTTTGAATTTAGCTACTGCTTGAAGGAAACTACTCAAGATGCCTTGCTGTTTTAAATTTTTTTTTATTTGATTCTACATTTATAGGTTGAGTACATTGTAGATATAGATAGAAAATAATTTTATGTAAAAGGCAGAAATTTGTATATAGTAGAACCTACTTTATCTGAACCTCTTTATTCTGAATATCATTATTAACTTATGTTGATTCTGAAGTTTGTTTTTAATATAATTGAATAGGTATCACATGCGTTAGTTTTAATTTTTCTCAATTTAAAAAAAAAAATAATAATAACATGTCAATTACGCTTAACTTAAGAACTTGAAAGTAAAAACACACTTTGTACTGTGTCCATAGAATTGAAATATATGTTGTTTCATCAGTCTTTTATTATTATTAGTGTAGTTTAAACATCATGACTTTCACTTCTGCTAAGAGAAAACATGCTACGTAATCTCTGCAAGAAAAATATAATTTAATTTTGTGAATGGAATTGGGAGAAAGTTTTTGAAAGGAATATAAATGTATAAAATCAACTTTAAAAACAATTTCAGAATTAAATATTGCATTTGTTCAGATGGTTTAGTGTAGTTTAAACGTCATGACTTTCACTGCTGCTAAGAGAAAACATGCTATGTAATCTCTGCAAGAAAAATATAATTTAATTGTGTAAATGGAATTGGGAGAAAGTTTTTGAAAGGAATATAAATGTATGAAATCAACTTTAAAAACAATTTCAGAATTAAATATTGCATTTGTTCAGATGGTTTATTCAGAATATGCGCAAAGAAGTACGTATTACTGTTTGAGACAATAGTGCAAATGAACTTTCAAAGAGATTATCTTTTTCATGAAAACCCCATTTAATTAAATGGTCTTATAAAATTTAAATCCTATTTAGCACTTCTATTTTTAAAAAAACTTGATTTACAAAATTTATTTACGAAAATATATTAAAACACAATGTTACCTTTTTAATTCAAAGTTGAATTCCAAACGTAACAGAGGGGACATCACATAAGCACTTTATTCTAAAAAATATATTAAATGTTTTTTTTTTTTAAATTCTACTGGAATATGCTGCTTTAGGGTGCAATGTTTAATTAATTGGCATAAAATAATAAAAGAGCCTCATAATTAAATTGAGAGTTAACAAAAGTACTTGTAACAGAGGAGACAAATAAAATCCCACATTTTTGACATGCAATGTTAATTATGCTAAATTCTGTGATTTGGGCCATCCTAAACATTATCTGTAATTTTTTTAAAATTATCGCATTTAGAGGTAAAATAATATATTATAAGACTTTTAAATTTGCAAACACATTTTTTTAAGTCCAAATAATGCATCGTAACAGAGGGGACATGGAATGTAAGAGAGGGGACGTCTTACAAATTTGACAAAAAAGTTAAAGGAAAATATCACTTAAAAATGACTCTTCGGTTATTTAAAGTTGGGGTTGGCAGCACTGCTATAATTGAAACCCGTGCTACATCTTTCTAGTTAAATTTGAAGGTATTTATTTTACCAAACCCTGTTTTTAAAAAAAGAAAAACAAGTGTATTGTTTGTTTCTTAATCAATTTCAGATATTTGGGCAATAAAATTAAATACCCAATTTTTTCCTAAAACATTTTGCACTTGCAAAACTATCTATCGCAACATCAAAAGAATCCCAGTGTTTTAAATGGTGACTGGTGTACATTAAATATGTCAGGTTAAAATGTCTTCCAAGTTCTCAAAACAAATCAATACCTCTGGGGGTACTGATCGAGGAGTTCCCTTGTCTTCTGGATTGGATTCAAAATTACAAGGCTAGATCATTGGAAGCTGTAAAGAACATTGGAAGCTGTAAACTCATATTCGGGTCGACTGTTCAACGATGTTTATAGAATAAAAAGTCAATTAAGCTATTGTCTTAAGTCGCTATATTTAGTAATTCTATGTAATTATTTGTCAAACAACTGTGATTTTAATAGCAAATGTACATCTTTGTGAATAGCACATGCACATTTTATTTGGTGTTTTACCTACGCATAAAATATGGATAGGTCGTAGTACAGCAAACTTGGATATAATTTTTATATTTGGATGCATCTGCTTTGATACTTGATATGCTCCCATCGAGATGCACATTTAATTAGTATACTTTCTGTCCATTTTCTTTGACAATCATGCACTCAGCTCTACCAGAAGTCTGGTAAGAAAGTTAATCAGATGAGTAAAAATTTATTACAAGCTTTTTTTGTTTCATCAGAAACTTTGTTACTAGGCTATTTCTTTTGTTTTGGTAATAAGGTTACAGATTATGCGTAGAACAGTGCAACGTTTTTTCTGGAGATACAGGCATAGTTGCCAACTCTACTGGATTTTCCAGTAGACTATTGGATTTTGCTAGTTTCTCCTGGTCTACTGATTTATTCAAAATTCTTCCGGTTATTGTGCATTTTAGAAAATTTCCTAAAATTGAGTAAGTTTCCTAAAAAAATCCTTCTTGAAATAAAATTTTTGTACAGATTATTGCTTGAATAATTAAATAAATATTACTACTATATAATGAAGTGAACCTCATTTATAGAAATCAATTCAAAACTTTTTTTGTTCTAAAATGTTGAATTTTCTAATGGAGAGTTATTCAATATTTTTGTGCTGGAAAATTTAACATTTATTATTTTTCTATTCTTTAAGCAACTTTGATTTCTTGCACTTTTTCCCTAAAAAAAATCAAAATATTGAATATATTTCAAAAATGAAAATGATCAATGTAGCTTTGTTTTTACGTACGTCTATTTACAGTTGGGAAATTTTGAGAATGAAAAGTTTTCCAAAACTCTTAAACTGGAATATTTATTCCATTATGTTTCTAATAATTAATTTTAAACTTTATGCTTGCAACATCTATTTCATATTGTTTCTCGCTAAAGTGTAAAAAGCTAAAAAATATCCATTGTGCTCAATTTTCTGTGCATATATGTTTTATTACATGATACCTTCATTTGCAGCTCTGGAATTCTGAGAATGGAGAGCATTTCAAAACTCTTGAGCTATCTCAACCCCCACAAGATCATCATGTTAGATGTTGTAGATTTTCTCCAAACCGTGATATTTTGATCTCTGGTCATGACAATGGTGATGTCATTGTAAGTGTACAATTCTGAACCATTTTAAGTTTTATAAAATTTTAAAAATTGAAATGACTTCAATAAAACTATTCCGTGTCTGCTAGATTGTAATTTATAACTTTTAAATTTTTTTTTTTTAGTTGGCAGTGTTTTATTTTAATTTTTTTATTAACTTTAATGCAATAAAAAATCATGAAAGGATATTAAAATATTTTTATTGAAATCAGTGACTATAATGTTACTTTCTTGGTGGCATATAAGTGTGGTACTTTGGATATTTGAATAAATATTTATTTTGCTACTATAAAAGATATGTCTACTGCTAAACAGCTTTCACCATTATAGTGACTAATTATCAGTAATTTCAAAGCATCTTTTTTTTTTATTGATAATGCTAGATGATTATTTTAAATTTAAATGTTTGCCTTTTTTTTGTTGTTGTCCTTTTTGGACATGAGTAATTTTTTCGATTTAAATTTATTATAAATTATTTTTAAGTAAACTCTTCTTTTAAATTGTGTCAAGTGTTTGTTTTAAGATGCAGCCTTTTTCAATTTACAGTTTGACTTGGAAGGAGTTTTTTGAAATATTAACAGGAGATATTTTTTAATTATTTATTAATTTTTTTTATCTATCTTTAGCAAATATTTTAGTTGATACAATTGTAATATTATTTTTCTTCTAATGTTCGATTTTCATTTTGTTAATATGTAAATATATATATTTGAAGGTTCATTCAAAAATTGTTTTCTATTTTAGATGTGGACCTTTCAGGGCAAGCCTGAACATGTTTCGAAAATGCCCCACAAATCTATGATTCATGACATCTTATTTAAAAGAGATGGATCTCAATTTTTGACAGTTTCGCAATTCATTAAGATATGTGATGTGGCTTCCAAGGACTATCAAACTCTTGTACTGCCTAGTTCAGTCATGGGAGTCAAACAACCCTGCATTTGGGCATCTGATGACTTCAACATCATCGTTGCTGTTGTTAACTACGTTTTGTACGTTCTGAAAAAGATTTCATGAGTGCCTTTTTTTTTTTTTTTTCTATTTTTGTAAAATGTGCAAATTTTGAACATTATTATTTTTGTACTTGTTCTTACTTTTGTGGCAAGAAATATAATTGTTTTATCATCAGAATTTGTTGGATTTGTACCAAGTAAAGTTAGTCTGTGTTGCAGGGAAATAGCTTTTACTTTTAAAGAGTTTAACAGTTTTTCTTTGAATTAGGTGAATCTTTAAAGCTGCTTTGTTAGAGGCTGTTTCACATGGATCCCAACTCAAAACAGAAAACAACAGCCTTGCAGATTTTCAGATTATTTTTCTCNATATATATTTGACATTTCATTCAAAAATTCTGTTTTCAATTTTAGATGTGGATTTTCCAGGACAAGGTTAAACATGTTTCAAAACAACCCCACCAATCTATGATTCATGACATTTTATTTAAAGAAGATGGATCTCAATTTTTGACCATTTCTCAATTTATTAAGATATGTGATGTGGCTTCCGAAGACTATCAGACTCTTGTACTGCCTAGTTCAGTCATGGGAGTCAAACAACCCTGCATTTGGGCATCTGATGACTTCAACATCATCGTTGCTGTTGTTAATTACGTTTTGTACATTCTGAAAAAGATTTAATGAGTGTCTTTTATTTTTATTTTTGTAAAACTTACAAATTTTTAATATATTATTTTTGTGCTTGTTGTTCTTGCCTTCGTGGCAAGAAATAGTGTTTTATCATCAGAATTTGTTGGATTTATACCAAGTAAAGTTGGAGTAGGCCAAGTAAATTTAGTCTGTGTTACAGGAAAATAGCTTTTACTTTAAGAGCTTAACAGTTTTTGTTTGAATCATGAATTAGGCAAATCTTTGAAGCTGCTTTGTTAGAGGCTGTGTCACATGTAGCTGCACATTTGTCACAACCGCAAACTGGATGAAAGCAACAAATTTTTTTAACTATAAACACATTTCTTCTAATCAAAATTATGAAGCTGAGTTGAGAAAACATTGTGGAAAAAAAAAAATTCTATTAGTTGATTGCAGTTTTTTGCTGTACAAAGATTTATTCCACTTTTTTTTAGTAAATAAGTTTAAGCATCATTAAGTTTTATGTATAACTTTTAAATACCTTTATTAATTTTGCTACATATCTGTTAGGTTAAACTGAATTTTTACAATAATCTCAATCTGGGATTGGACAATTTTGATTTATGAAAATTATGCTGCAGATTTATTCCATAAATTCTGCTAGTAAGTTTACTGCTTATGATAAATTCACCTGCAACTCTTATGTGAATGAGCAGCACATCCAACAATTTCTGTGAAACGATCATAGGCTAGTTTTATTTGGCCTACCCTGTATCTTTGCTATCTGCAAAAAGTATGTTAATGTTTTAGCCAAATATTATTCTGTTCTATTTAGATGATCCTACAAAAAAGTTTTATTGTTTTCTTGTTGTATTGTCTGTTGCATATTTTAATGGGGAGTGCAGTATGGGAATGGAAAGTGGGAAATTAATACTCATCTGCTCCCAGATCTAAATTTGGGTAGCGTATTTTGTGCATACTCCAGTATTATTTTTTGATCATCAATAAGGAGAAATCTCTGACCTTATGGGTCAATATGGTAACTGTTACTTTAATAACCAAATGAAAATTTAAATTCGTCTGTAATATTTTTTATTACTTTTCAGAATTTGAAGTTATTGTATGCAACAAGTTTTATATCCTTTGTCTTTAGTTTTTTTAAGTCGTTTTTTTTTCCTTCCATTTAATAAAGTCTCAGTGATTGAACTTTTTTTAAAAAAAATATTAAAGTTTTATTATGATTATTTTGTTAGTAATAAAAAATAAATAATTAAATATTAATACCGGGAGTAGGGGTAAAGAAGAGCTCAGTTATTGAGGGTAGGGGTAAAGAAGAGCTCGGAGGTATTTTCTACTTTTTACCCTTACATGCCCAGCCAGACATGTACCTCAATATTTAGTCAGAAATAAACTAAAATATTTAGTCGTGCCTTAAATATGTGATCCTTAACAAAAACTTATAAAACAAAGTAGCTTAGGCTTTTTTATTTTCTTAATCACTATTCATTCACTTAATCATTATTACATATTTTCATAGTAAAAATTAACTTTAATTGCTGTGCATTAATATTAATAGACAAAAATGTTGAAACTTAAAGTGAGAATATTATTTTAACCCCTTCAAGATCCTGACAAGTGATTCTCCTTTCATGTCTCATGTTATTTTATTGAACCTTTCTAACTAGTAGCACAATTGTGATCTTGATATAGTACTCTTGTATTACATTTCTTGTTAGTAAGTATACCTAATCGTATGTGCAGATAAGTGACCTTTTTTTCTAATTATGCTACTCCTGAAGGGGTTAGCAACTCTAAATTAACATCTGCTTCAAATCTTTTAAGAAATTTGACAGTGTCTGAATAGAGGATTTTTTTATTTATGTTAAGTTTGTTAAAAATTTGTTTCTTCCTAATATGCATAGTTCCTTTTGCTGTTTTGTCTTCCGATAAATAAGGAGGCTTTTGCAAGGATAAGTTTCTTTAAATGAATTGTTACTTTCCTATAGGTAGATTTCGATGTTTTTATTATTATACTTTCGAAAAAAGGTGTTTGGGCTTATAAAAATTTTAAAAACTTACATGCTCGATGTGGCATTTAAGAACTTTAACATTTTTCAAGGTTTAAATTATATTATAAGAAAAACCGGCCAGGTGGCCGAGCAGTTAGCATGCCTGACTGCGAAGCCATAGGCTGCGGATTCAAATCCCGCTCTGGGCATGGATGTTTCTCTCTCTCTTTGTGCTGTCCTCTGTTGTGTGTGAGGTGTGAATGTGGCCCACCCTATAAATGGATTTGTGGCAGTGTGGCGAGGGCAATGTTGCTCGCCTCCGTGACTTTGGTTCACAGGTGCCCACTAGGTAACGCGAAATGAGCAACAATTCTGGCATAGTATAGGCAAAGATTTAAATTCAGTGCCTGCCATTGGAAAAAAAAATATTATAAGAAAAGTTCAACAAATTTCAGAGTTTTTATTTTTTATTATAAGGAATGTACCTCAAATAACTTATGTTTCTATAGTTTATTTATATTACCTATCTTAACAATTCCCATAAGAAAAATTATTTAGTTTCGGAGCTTGGTTTTCTATATACTTTTATCTTGCATTACTTATGGTCATTGTTACACTCAAGTAATAAAAGTTGTGCCAAATTTGTTCATCATTAATCAATGGTGACCTACTGAGATGTTAATGAATGAGTGAGAATGAATTAGTGAATGAACGTTGGGTGTAAAAATGTTGTGTAATATAAAATTTCAAGCAATAATGTCTAATTTTTAAAATGTATTCATTCACTTTTAATTTAGTGTCTTTTTTTCCTTGTAAACATTGTATAGCTAATTGAATTATTTTATATATAAATTTAAATTTCATTTCTTATTTATCCCGACTATTAAAATCATTGATGTATAAATTTTCAAAAACTTTGTCATCAATCTTATTCAAATACAATTATAATGAATAAATTATTATCTTACTGATGTTTTTATCATTTGGTCTAAAAAATTATGTTATTATATATATACATATGTATGAGAAAGTAGAGTGTTTAATTATTCTATATTAATCACCGCTTGCATAAATGCTTTTTTTTATAGGTAAACATGTTGTGCATTGTTCTAATTTTTATTTTTTAAAGTTGTTAAATATTTAGACATACAATTAACATTAATTAGCTTACTTAACATTTTCATCCTAAAGCATTCCTTTGCAAATACATATTTAACTCATTTTTGGCTGCCCAAACTTTCTTGCCTCCAAATTCAATCTGCAACTTGTTAATTTGTTATTTTGAACGCACAAAATAAGTAAATAAATGTACAAAAAATCTTTATACTTATATCATGTTTGTAATAGTAAAATTTTTACTCTTTTAAAATGTAGCCTTCATTTAAGACTGACTTTTTATGTTTTTATACAAACTTTTTTTTCTCTACTAAACATTTATTGCAAAATGGTTCTGCGGTATTTTTTTTTATGGGTTTAATTTTTTGTTAATTTTAAAATTGTTGTGTAATTTTTTTGGAACTTTTCTTTAAATGAGATCTTAAACTTTGTGTGATAGTATTTATAGTAGTATAAGATCTTAAACTTTGTGTGATAGTATTTAAATTCATGTTTAACCTAAATAATTTTTTCTTTTACCTCTAACAAGAATCTTTTGCTGAAAATCAACCTTTTTAGTTCAGGCAAGGGGGATATGGTGTCATACCTCCCTCTTCCTGTAACAAAAAAAAAAATATTGGAAATTTTAGCAAATAATTTTTAATTATTAGCAAGTGTTTATTTTCATGTAAAATAGTTTATATTTCTAATTAAATTGTAAAAATCTTGTAGTGTAATAAAAAATGTAAAGGAACGAAGGGAAAAAAATATAATTTTTTATATTATGCATACAATTGCACAGCAGAATTTTTTTTACTTACTGCCATTAAGTGAGAATTTGTTAATCCTTCAATCATGAAAAATTTTTTAATTAAAGTAATAAAAAAAATTTTGAATTCATATTACTCTTTATTCTTGAATAAATATTTATTACAATACCAGAGATGCCAACTGCTTCGGACGTGCCGAAATAATTTAAAAAGCGGTAAATAACTACAAAGTAAATTTTGCAAATATTTAACTATTTTTGTGTGCTTTTTAAAAGGTATAGCATAACATAAGTACGATAAAGTGGTGAATTATGTAAGCCTACGAATTATTTAGAAATAGTGGTGGATAAAGATCTACTAAAATGAATTTATTAAACCAAGAATCACAATTGATAAACTACAACTTTAAAATATATATTTGCTGTCCGGAGCAAGTTGGCATCTCTGCAATACTATGTACTTAATCAGATATTATTATATTTTATTTCTTATCACAATTTATTATTTATTTTTCTATGCACAGTGTGACAATTATTGAGCTATATGAAATAAGAAAATAAAATTTCCTGAAAAACTGTTTAGCTTAAAAACATTATTGTTCTAACAAATACCAAAATTCTGATATGTCAAAAAAGCAATGATATCCTGAATGGCAGTTTTGAACTCAGCAATGGTTTTGAAGATAATTTGCACATTTTTGTCTTCAATATAGCCTCAAAAAAAAATCCCAAAGGTTTAGAACAGGAGACTAAGAGGGCCAAGCTGGTCCTATTTCAATGGTCTCTGATTACCCAATGGAGAAGGGAATGCATTCAGAAATGCTATTTTAACATTTTCTCAAAAAATATAAATAACATCAAAAATAAAAATGTGCTTGCTTAAAAAAAGAGAAAAAATCCCAATATGCTTTGCATCCAGGCAACAGCAAATTTTTTGCTGAATCTTGCCAAAAGTTATCAAATTTTTTTTTCTCACCTAGCTCAATTAGATTGTTTAATATTGTCAATCATGTATCGATTTCATTTTTAAACTTTTATATTGATATTATTTATAAGTTCACTTATTAAATTAAAAGTTATTATATTTCTAAATAATTTTATATAAAATTAATGTTTGAATAATTAATTAATAATATAATTTACGATCATCTTGTTACTTTCTGATCAAGTTATTGCTTCTTTCTATTACCTAAAAACTATCTTAAACAAGAACAAAATATAACATTCATATTCCAATTTTAATAAACAATAGAAATTCTTGAAGACAAACTATTCTAACTTTTTTAAGTTAAAATTTCACTATTCATCAAGGCTTTAAAAAAAAAGTGCATAACCTTTTTGTATGAATTGTTTGTAAAAAAAATGTATGAATTCTCAACTATTGAGACAATTTTGTGATATAAATATTGTGCAATAATTGTTGTGATATATAAAAATGACCGTTTTCATGTAACGGAATACAGTGGCTTATGTATATGAAAATGCCGTTTTTATGTAATGGAGTACAGTGGCTTATGAATTTAAGTGTTATGTATGGATATCAATGTCTAAAACTAAAACTTTGTGAAGAAGAAAAAAAATTGTCGAAAAAGCATTTTATCATTAAATTTGCTTTTATTTTAGATATATTTACAGATTTCAAAATGCAACCAAATTGCTCATTTTATTTTTGAAACTTTATGTTAATGGTTAAAATATTTTAGACTTGTGTGCTTTTTTTATTTATATAAATGCATGTTTGTAATATTTGTTTTCATTTATTTCTCTTCCAATTGAATTCTATCAAGAAAACATGTTGCAGCATAAACTAGGTTTCCTTGCAGTATCGAGAAAGAAATATCCAAAGAAAAATGTGGATAATGACAAAATTTTATCTTTTTATCCGTACGTGCCCTAGTTTGACAAGTTAACTATTTTTTGATCTCAAACCTACTTTAAATACGCTTTTCAAAAGTAGTATTTTTTAATTCAATACTCTTAACTTTTCTTCAGTAAAGAATTATAGCAGGTTCATGCACCGAGAGGAAGGTAGTGGGTTCGAGTATTGATGTAAAGAAAGTTTCGTTGAAAAATGACCAAATTATAGAAGGTTCTGATATCGATAGAAAGTTAAAGGGTTAAAAGGATAGAAAGTATAGATATTTAATTAAAAAGACTGTTTTCGAAAACTGAGCAATTAATAATGGGTTCGAGTTTTGGACAAAAGAGACAGGTTAAAAACACTCGTCACATTATAGAAGGTTCAAGTATTGAAGAAACTGGTTTTGAAAAGTGAACAATAAATAACAGGTTCGAATACCGATAGATACAGTGGGTTCGAGAACTTATCTGAAAAGAATGGGTTATATTAGATAATAGATTGTGGGTTCGAGTATTGGTTAGAAAACTGATTTTTGGGAAATTGTTCAAATAATAGTCGGCTCTTGTACCGATAGAAAAATAGTGGCTTCAAGTCTTGATCAGAAGAGAGTTGCTTTGAACACTGATGAAATTATAGCAGGTTCGAATGCTGATAGAAAGATAGTGGCTTCGAGTAATGAAAACTGATAAAAGGATAGTACGT